AATTGAGGATGCTTTCCCAAGAGCAGAGGAATTGATCAGTCTTGCCCTTGGGGCGTGGGGAAAAGGAGAAATCACCGTGGAGCTTGTGCCGTCTGGGTCACTGGGCCCTGGCATTCACGCGCTCAGCTGCAGCACAACGACACACCTCAGCATTGCCATTGGTGTTGGACGTGGACTCGATCAGCGCATTGATGTCAGTGCCAATTGCCAAGTCATTGCTGAAACATTGCTTCACGCCGTCGCCGAATCAATGCTGCACATCCCTCACGAGTATGCCATTCTGTCCGAGTCTCTCGTCACCGCCGGTGTGACTGAAACTATGGCTCGCCAGCTGCGAGCGGAATCTAACACCGCGGTCGTTATTCGCTGGGCTAAGAAGGAACTACTCAAACACCTGTGCCTTGGCTTTGAGTGTGATGCTCATTGGGAAAAGCTTCCCAAGGACATCAGAAACTCTCTCTTGAACCGTTGCCTTGGCCAGCCTAGTCAGCTGTCAAGCGAGGATCGGAAATGGCTTGAAGGGCGTCTTTGCCAGTTCGATACGGAGGATCTTGATGTGCATGTGGCGCGCTGCAATCTTGGTGCTGCTACCGCTGTCAGCATTCTCGATTATGCACACTATGGCACAGGCGAAGCTGTTGTGTTCCAAGATCCAGAGACTCCAGACTACATCCCTTATGTCTCCAAGAGGCTCCCTGCAATCATTTATCTTTTTGCAAAACCCTGGCACTCACTCTATTATTCATTGGCATCAACGATAAAGTTTATCGTTGTTGCTCTCATCGCTGATCCTGAATTCCAGCGAGAATTCGACCATGTCATGAGTCAGCGTCATGCTATCATTCGTGTACCAGCCACCCTGGCCTTGAGCTCCATTTGGTCGTATTCGAGGATCGTGCAGAATCTAGGCCTCTCATTCTTTCTGTTTCACGGCCGCAGCAATGTGAAACAGCTCTGGGATGAGACGAAAGGAATGACTATCAGCATCAAGAAGAGCCGCTTTGTTATTCAGAGCTTGGATGGAACATTCTCTGCTTTCAAGCACGATGAAGCTGATGGAGGGTTCAAGATCTACTACTACGCGGGACAGCACAAGTCCGAGCCGGAAGGCACGAAGAGTCTCAGCTACGTCTGCGTCTATTCCAAGGATATGCTGCTCATGGTCAGACAAGAATTCAAAGGTGGGAAGGTGATCAATGAGTATCATTATGACTACCGTGCCCCGTCCAAGAAGGGATTCTCCTTGTCCAAGCTGTCTTCTACCAAGGTTCCAATGGGACGCCGCTGTGTGCGCGGAGAAAATCATCTTCAGAGCGTGCAATACAACAAGAAGGGCCTCATTGAAGCAGGATCCTACATGAAGGACGGCAATCTGATTCGGTTCAAGTATCATTATCGCAAGAATCCTCGGTTTGGAGATGAGTTGCTTCGGGCCGAGTTCGCTCTCTCGCATATCACCTGTACCGTCTCTTGGTGTGCGCCTCCTCTGCGCCATCCCCAGAAGATTGATCGCTGGATACCTCATTCCAAGGTGACGGAGGCCTCGTTTGTTCAAGGTGCGGACGTCTACGAGTCTCGCTGGCTTTACGATCACAAGTTTCATCCTACGATCTTCACCACACTCAACGGACAGAAAATTCAGACCCCACCCATGATCGAGCATGACTACCTCGCTGTACTGGCCAAACCCCGATACACCAGCTTTGTGCATGACAATCCTCTTTTGTATTGTGACAGTCTGAGTTCAAGTATTCTTACCAGGTTCTTCGGTTTGACAACGAAGCGCTTTCCCGTGTCCACTTCTCGTGCACGTTCGTTGATCTGGAAGGCTTGGAAGGACCGCGTGGACTTCGACGGCATCATTGTCCGATGGATGGACGAACGCCTACTGAGAAGAGACAAGACGCTTGCTCCTTACTGGCGCAGCAGAGATCGCGGTGATCTTGCCTCAGCCAAGAAATATCTGGACTTACGCGCCGATACAATCACGGCCAGTGCAGACCTGGACGACAACATCTCCAGTTGGACTCCCTTGGCTGTTAAGATTAGTGATCTGTTCAACTTCGGACCAGGCGGTGATGCTGTTGTCAACACAAGATCTAAGGACTTTGGCTCTGATACCGAGAAATCACTGCACGTCATGGCTGCGGACAATGGTACCTGGCCAAACGAAGGAGGCGGTGTTTCTGCTTGCCGCCGTGATATGATCAATTCCCTGCGAACGATCAAGTGGCATATGATCTGCGAATCTGCAAACGACTTTGGTGTTCCCAAGCATCAGACAGAGCAGAACATCTTGTCACTGAAAGTGGTTCCTCTTTGGGGTCTCGACTTCCTCACGCCCACGCATGGTCTCTTCAAGAACAAACTTGACTCCGAGGTCGAGAACGTCACTTCCGCCAGCGAGATGGACATCAAAATGAACTTCATCCCTATCTTGACGGCCTTGGTGAAGGGAGCCCGTGCTATCCACCTTTCCAAGGCTGATATCCAGCAGGCAACTAGAGCCTTGGTGAACCTTAATACCTATTTCCAAGACTCGCGTCATTGGACTCAGATCTGGGACAGTGAAATTGTGAAGGAGAGCTGGCGCGACCTCTGGCTGACTCAGGAGATGCCCAATGCAACCCCTTCGTCAGAATGGTACGACACTGAGCTTCCCACCTTGGCATCTCTCGACATAGCCCTTGAGCTCTGGTATCGCTATCTCTTCATCTTCTCCATTCCGATCCCTGAAAAGATTCCCAACGTTTTCCAGGCATCACATCACAGCGTCAGTGCGTCATATGGAGTTGTCTGCAAGATCAAGAGAAACTGTACATTGCAAATCTGGGACCATGCCATCAGCTGGCGTGAGACGAATCTCTGTCTTTCTTCTGCCCTCTGCAAGCTTTCGCCTTTTGTTCGCAATGCTCTTCTGGGCTTGATGCGAGTCACATCGGTTCTCACGCTGCACCACGCTGATATCATCCTGCCATGTGCCGACTTCTTCAACCCAGGCTGGGAAGTCGAAATCGGCACCTGTCAAGGAACCATTGAGCATCGCAATGTCTTCCGTCGCAAGGTCGATCCCGTGGTCAACGGTATCACCGACATGCAGAAGTTTGCTCCAGTTAAGGAGATCAAATCGCAGCGCCCTACAGTCACTATGCTGTCCCACGTTTGGTACGCCAAGGATATCAAGACAGCGCTCCTTGCCGCGGATATCATCATCAATCAATGGAAGTTCGATGACTACCATTTGGACATTTACGGTGCTATCGACAAGGCCCCAACATATTCCACGGAATGCCAAGAGATCATTGCTTCGAAGGGACTTCGTGGTCGAGTCACTTTGCGTGGTACTGCTGACCCGATGAAGGTGCTGGAGAATACTTGGCTCTTCCTGAACTCGTCTTTGTCTGAAGGGTTACCGCTGGCGCTGGGCGAGGCTGCTCTTACCGGTGCACCCGTTGTCTGTACTGATGTCGGAGCTTCCCTGCGTGTGTTGAGTGACCCCGATGACTTCTCCCGCTTCAGCGCCGTGGTTGCACCGAACGATGCCTTGGCTCTCGCCCGCGCGCAGATCACCATGCTTGGACTTCTTGGGGAATGGAGTAAATTTGCCGACGATACCGAGGCACCTCCTGTCTTGACTTCTGCACCTACCCCGGAGGATGTTGCTAAGATCACGCGTCGCATGTACGATAAGAGCGAACACCGCCGCAAGCTGGGTATGATGACTCGCAAGATTGTGCAGAAGTCCTTCAGTGGTGATCGGTACCTGCGTGAGCATGAGCAGATGCTCTGGATCGGAAAGTCCGCTAAGATCATGGCTAGCCGCCCCCACGCTAGTCTTAGTGAGCCCGCTGATGTTGCCACTGCTCTGCAGCAAACTATGCCAATTGACGAAGAAGTTATCACCATCCCACGCAGCGCAGTGAACTCCTGGCGCTCTTCCGCTGCGTCCGGCATGTCAAGCTTCTACAGCTCCGTGTCCAACTTCCCTATGCTGAATGCGAATCAACGCCCATCTTCCATCCGGTCAAGCCTGAGCAATGCTTCTACCGACGCTAGCTCCTTCCTCCCCCTCCCGAGCAATGCTTCTTTGCCTGTCTTTGCGCCTCGTCAAACCCTCTCTTGGTCTGGGCTCACGGGTAACAAGTCGTCCAACGGTCACCTTTCCCCAACCGGCCGGCTCTCCCCCGTACTCAATCGCAACGGGCATCACTCCCGCACGCACTCACTCTCTACGGCTGGTCGAGAGCAATTGCGTGGACTTCAACGCGAGGACCTACGGCAGTACCGTAACTCGGACGTGAGTTTGGTCATGCGTGACGAGTTTCTCCAGTCCAGCTACTTCCGGGGTCTCGACGGTGGCAACAATGTCTGAATGACAGGTTGTCTCTCTCTTTTGATGCCGCTGCAGCTCGATCTTATACCCTGTTTGTTCCTGGCTCGATTCATTGTATCCGATCTTGTCAATACTTGTTGCTCTTTTTGTCAAAATAAATATCCCTATTTGTTGTACATATAATCATTTGTCAATGTTTTGTTTTTGTGTTTCCCTCGCATAGCTTCGATATCACTCCCCCATACAGCTCTTTTTCTATCTCCAAGAAGACGTTGCGATTCAACCACACATGCTTGTTTGCACACTCTTTCTCCTGGTTGTATAAAAGTCACGCACAGCATTGGGGCAATGATTGGCGGAACTCTACTTTCCTTGATAGACTACACACACCAAGAGCGTTGAGAATCATTCAATTGGAAACCGTCGACATTGAAAGCATCATAATTAGTAGCATAAATGTACATCAGTGGACTAAAAGGATCATTCTTGTCTCGATCTGCTCTGTTGTCAAGACAAAAAAGAACCACGTGATGCGAGACCGCAACGACGTCATTGCCATCGATCGCCTTCCCCGCTCTCATTGCAACTCGAAGGAGAGATCAAACAAACCTCCAAACACGACCCTCTTGGACGGAGTACAAAGGAGAAGAAGAGGTTTCAGCGCACAATGACTGCACCCGAGCTTGAGACCTACCCCATCGGCAGCCGCAAAGAATGCGAGCGCATGGTCCGGGATTGGGGATTTAGCCATGTCTTCACCTGGTCGGATGGGAGGTATGTCTACCCTACCAGCGACGACATAAGATCGAAATGCTGAATATGCGATCCGCTGACGAAAACCGTCATCCAGCAATGCGCACTACCCGCCTCATTCGCACTCTGGGTTGACGACCCATCTGATCCGCCAAGGGAGTCTGACCATCACGTACCCGGAGGATAATGCTGCGATCCATGGAGGAGAGGTCAAGAAGGAGACGTGCGGCGTGGGCGCGAGATTGGATGTGCCGGCGGGAAAAGTACATGAGGTGTGGATTGGATCAGAGGGATGTGAGTATGTTATTGGAGAATGAATGTGGAAGCCATGATCCATCTACTGTATGGTCTTTTGCGAACTCCAATGCGACCTGCCACCGACCCGTCGGGAGTCACCCCGTGATTGATTCTTCACCGCTACTTTACTTTGCACCACTGCTGGCATCGTGGACTCCTACCCTGAACTGTTTGAGGAATGCGTAGAATTCGGCAGAAAAGAGAAGGAGAGATATTCTGCCACTGGCTGGATCATGCAGCAGACAGATCATATCGATCTGGGCAGTCTTTTTGCCTGCAAGACAAGGCTGAAAGAAAGCGTCAGTGCTGGAATGCCCCGCACCCACCTCACTCAAAAGGTATTGCCTTTGGACAGGCAGCCTTGCAGCACTCCAGATGCCTGATTGTCTGCTTTCTTTGCTGCTTCGGCTCGGAAGTCAAAGGAGACGTCATTAGCAACATCATTCATAGTCTACCTCATCCTCAAAAAAGTTGGGGTGAAAAAATGCAAAGGAAGAGCTAGTAGTAGCCTTATCCTTATAAGGCCAGTCAACAAAGGTTAGTTTTGAAGGTTGAAACAGTCCGTCTCCACTTCACGTGGAGAACCAAAAACTCTCACGGACAACACCTCAAAAAAAAAACAACAAGCCGGAACTTTCTTCCACCAGCCTTACTCCCAGCATTTCCTGCTACTTGGTTTCTCCTCAGCTGTATCTTCCATTCCATTGATTCCGCTGTCCTGAGCCTCCCCCCGCGTTCAACACACGGCCGGCTATTTTTGGCTCATTCCGATCCGAGTGCTCTTGAACCCCCCCCACCTTCAACCACGGCCCGCAAGCATCACAACCAGTCGGTGTGGACCAGGCTACAATCTAGGCTGGGACAACACAACGGAAAGACAGGGATGGTCGGAATCACAGAACAGACCAGCAATGTCACTTTGGACTCATCGCAGCCCGTGACCAAACCGGAGACCAAACCCACCTTCTCACCTCCGGTCCTCACATACCTGGACAAAATCTACAGCTCGTTGACTTCATTGTCCCAGCCAAACTTTGTCACGGAGATTCAACAGGAGACTCGCACGCAAGATGCAAGCGGCAAGGAAGGCGCAGATCCCCTGGCATCCTTGCCAGCATTCTATGCTTACATGGCGAGTCCCGCGGCCTCTGCCTTGAAGCCGGTCGATCGGCCTGATCTCTCAGCTCCAATCACAGACTACTATATCTCCTCCAGTCATAATACGTACTTGACAGGCAATCAGCTTTATAGCGACTCGGATGCGAGTGCCTATACCAATGTACGTTGCCCCTTTGGACCCGTCATTCTTTTCGTTGTGTTCAAAAGCCAACTGTAAGAGGGGAACTCGCGTCAATACTGTATAAATGTATTCGCACGACGTTCCATCTTACGTCAAGCCATCATCGATACCAAGAGACTCTGCCTTCACGCGTAATAAAAGCAGACAGCTGATGTGTCTTAGGTATTGCTTCGCGGAGGAAGATGCGTCGAGATTGACATCTGGGACGGAAAGGGCAGCTCCGAAAGCTCGCAGGACGAAGACACCAGTAGCAGCAGTAGCAGCAGTAGCAGCAGCAGTAGTAGCGATGACTCGAGCTCTGATGAAAGCGCCGCTAGGCCCCAGTTGCCTCGCCGTCGCAAGTCGAAGATGGAGAGACTCAGAAAAGCGACCGAGAGCCACCCGCGTCTTCACGCGATTTCCGAAGAAGTCGGCAAGTTAGAGGGCTTCTTGGGCCATCATCGATCGTCGTCGTCTGGAAGCAAGCCTCCAACGACGGAAAAGCCGCCCGCAGAAACAGCTCAGGTTCCGGCACGTCCAGAGCCGCGCGTCCTCCACGGCCACACCCTCACCAAGGAGGCCAGTTTTCGAGATGTATGCTACGCCATCCGCGATAGCGCGTTTGTGACCAGCGACCTGCCGGTGATTGTAAGTCTTGAGGTGCATGCCTGTCATGAACAGCAGCACACCATGGTGGAGATTATGGAAGAGGCGTGGAAGGGGATGTTGATCGAAGTGACGCCTGAGATTGAAGCGACCAAGACGCCGCCGCCCCTGGAGGAGCTGAAGCGGAAAATTCTCATCAAGGTGAAATACGTTGCCCCAGACAGCGTGGACAAGAACGAGGACCCGGAGGAAGAGGAGAAGCAAGTATATCTGAAGCATGTTCAGACGCTCAAACAGCAAGGCACACCACTAAGCCCCGCGAGCACATCTTCTGAGACGCCTGAAGCCCCTGCTTCGGCTCCCCACAAACCGTCGAAGATCGTGCATGCTCTGAGCAAGCTGGCCGTTTTCACCAAAGGTTTCCACTTCAAGGACTTTAAGCAGCCAGGTATGTTAAGATTGATCCACTTGCTTTCCATGAATTGTTGCTCACTTTGAAACACCACAGAGGCCAAAGTGCCAAGTCACGTATTTTCTCTCTCGGAGAATGCGGTACGAGAGGCACATATCAAGGACCCTAATGCGCTATTTGAGCACAACCGCCACTTCTTCATGCGCGTATACCCCAAAGGGCTACGTCTAGGGTCCTCCAATATGGACCCCGGTTTCTTCTGGCGGCGCGGCGCCCAGATGGTAGCATTGAATTGGCAGAATCTCGACAAGGGAATGATGCTCAATCACGGGATGTTCGCAGGCGAGCACGGCTGGGCGCTTAAGCCTCCCGGGTATCGAAGCTCTGACGCGGACTCGATCATCGTCCAACGACGACAACTCAACCTGTCCATTGAATTCATCGCCGGCCAGAACCTGCCACTGCCGCCAGGCCAGACGAGCGAAAAGAAGTTCCATCCCTATGTGTCTTGTATCCTTCATCTTGATACTCCAGATGATGACTCTGGCGACTCCGCAAGCGATGATGAATCAGACTCCGAAAAAGCCGGCTACAAGCGAACCACCAAAAGTGCAACGGGGTCGAATCCGGATTTCGAGGGCCAAAAGATCGAGTTCCCTCCCATACCCAACGTCGTTGAGGATCTTAGTTTTGTCAGGTATGTGCTCTCTGACAACCGTTCTTTCAGACGTTGGATGCTGATGATGGGATAGGTTCAAAATCAAGGATGACGAGTTCTTCCGTGATTCGCTTGCTGGGTGGGCGTGCATACGACTCAGCAGACTTCAGCATGGCTACCGTTTTGTTCATATATATGACCGCGCGGGAGTGGATACTGGTGGTGCTCTGCTGGTCCGGATCACGAAAACCATGACTTGATCCTATCAGTTTACAGTCATCTCGGGTCGAAGTTAGGAATGTGAATTGAGATTATACCCATGCTCACGCGCTGACAGCAGGTCACACGCGAAGCGCTGCATGATATAAGTTGGAAGACACTGGTAATCCATAAACTTCTGCTTTCCATGAGATAGGGTTGGCTTGGAGGGGAGTTAAATAGATCATGATCCGGTTGTCCCTTTGGAGTCTTTTCTCCTGCGTAGCTTGAGACCGTGCACTGCGACGATTGTGTTCCTTCTTTTACGCTGTCAAAAATTACCATACAAGCTATTCAATTCTCGAATGCAGTCAGAATATAGGTAGACGTGATTATCGTAAAAGCTCTAAGTAAGTGTAATGTGTCGTTGCAACCGCATCTCAATTATGACGTGGTCCCAGCCGATCAATCGGCTTGCGAACTTGGAAAAGCTGGGGTAAATCTCGAAGTGGAAACTCGAAGCGCCGCCCGCGGCCGACAATCGGGGGTTTGTTTTCTACCCCGCGCTTAGGACTACTGGATTCATTACCTCTCCTCCCTATCCAACGGTCCCTTCCCTGTTCCTATTCTGCACCCGAATCGGTGGAAATCTAAACAGCTCCTGCCCAGCGATTTATACAGATTCTCAGCACCTCAAAAGGGTGTACCCTCCTGACAACCAACCAACCGTCTCCATGGCAGATGCAGCAGCAGCAGCAGCAACCAAAGCGACACCCACGCCGCCTAAATTTACCAGATGCAGGACCGGGTGTTTGCGATGTCGCACGCGACGGCGCAAGTGTGAGTTTGTGTCCCACTTCTTCCTATCTTTTCTTTCTAGGCACCTACCCACTACCACCATCCTTTTGAAAGCCTAATGAGAAACAACTTAATGCAATCATTTCTGAACTTCTTGACGTTTGCAGTGACTCCCTGCTAACATTTTGTCTCTCTCCGGGAAACACAAACAGGCGATGAAGGCAAACCCCGCTGCCAGAACTGCGTGGACAAGAATTTCGTTTGCAGCTATGGGATGCAAGTCACTTTTCTCTCGAAGAATACGTACACGGTGCCTGCGAAGGAACTCCGGACTCCGAGGTCGACGAAGAGACGGTTTCAGACTCTGCGGGTGCGTTTTGATTTTGGTTTCTTGGGCATTTTATGGTTGATGGGCTTTCTTTCATCCCGGTTCTTGTTAATTGGGATGTGGTTTGTGTTTCTGTCGGGAATCTCCAATAAAGTCTCGTGTGTGTTCACTGATACTCATGTTTCTAGTTCATTGAAGAGGATCCTCTGGCCTTGAATGGGGTAGATGGCAATACTGTTGGTGAGGAGGAAGAGGAGTTGGAGTTGGATTCTTCTTCTTCCTTTGATACCCGGTCGGCGGGTTCTCGTCATGAGCGAGCTAAGGAAAAGCAAGAGGGAGGGGGCGTCCAGTTCGGCTTGGGTGGAGAAGATGCAAGTCCTCTACGGGTAGAGGGTCCAGCAGATCGCGCCGGTGATGACCGTCAACATCATGAAGATGGGCCCTTGATTGAAGACGAGGTATTGCTCGGGAGCGGCCACGGCTTCTTTAGTGACAGGGATACGTCGGCTGTTCAGGGGCTTCTTGCGCTGGGCTCGAGTATAAACGCCACTGATCAGCTTGCGCTGGTTCATGATATCTCCTACCTCGAGACACCGGAGCCGATCGCGGGCTCTTCACCCATCATGACGGCCACTTCAGCCAACCAAGCAGACACTGGCACTCTGGCACGACGGCGCGAGGACTCTGTCGCTGTTGGAATGTCGCAGATGATTGAGCTAGGTTCATCGCCTTCAATCATGGATGATGAGCGGCGGAAGTTGGAACTTTTGCGTCATTATCGGTATTTTGTCGCTCCCTGGGTAAATATACCTATTTGCTGCTATCGGTCGGTGAAGGCAGAGGCAATTCCGTGGCTAACTCATGAGATGTCACAGCTAGATATCTGCGACCTGAAACATCCTTTTGGGATCATAGTCACTCAAATGGCGACACGCTCTGAGCAGATCTTGTCGACGTTGCTGACGCTATCGGAAGCATCTATCCTTCACCAGAGTCACCAACAGCCTAATGCACTCAATCGTGGAAGACCTTTACTCAGACATATACACCTTGGGTCTGGGCTTGCTTCTGAACTCACGGAGACGGCACTTTTATCAATTCTAGAGAGGTTGCATTTCTTAGTGTCCGACCTTTCTCACGGTTGGAGCACTTTGCAGAATGACAACCTCTGCTTGCTAGAGCCTCTGCTTGAACATTCTTTGCTCTTGAATATCGAATCATCTATTTATTGGATGTTTCTCAGACTAGGTTTGTCCGTTTTGCTAAGTTGCCTCGATTGGTAATTTTGCTAATACTAGATAGACTTGAGTGTAGCGCTCGCGAATGACACGGCCCTTCAAATCCCAATTCCCTCCGGCCCCGTGCCAAACCTGGAACTGCTGTCGCGTACCCATGATACTCATGAAAGAGTCTCGCTTTATGCACGTGTCCTTCTTTGGCTCTGTGGAAAGGCATTGATGGTATGCCATGAACAGCACAGCCCACGCAACTTTCCTGGTTGCCATCAGATCTTGGACAGTTGGCTCCAAGCGTTCGATGAACTCGACCGGTGGTATGCTTCACGGCCGCAAGAGTTTCGCCCATTGATTGAGCTGGAGGGCCATGACAATGTCTCAAATACAGGAAGCGGGTTTCCTCTGGTAGTCTTTGCTAATGGAGTGGGTGCATACTGCAACCAGCTCTATCACACCGCTGCGCTCTTGCTTCTGCAATGCAAGCCACGCACCGCGCTTCTCAACCCACAGGCTCGATATCTCTCTCCTCTCTGGCATTCTCAGCGAATTTGCGGCATTGCACTAAACAATGACTGCCGTGACTGCTGGGATCCTTGTCTGGTCGCCTCCTTCCTCGTTTCTGCGCGGACTATGACACACGAATCCCAGCAGAAAGCAATCCTGCAGGGCTTTGAGCGAATCTACTCAATCACTGGGTGGCATATAGGCCAGTATCTGAGCGATCTACAGCAGGACTGGTCGTTTCTGGATGGCGTCTGACGTGCTTCGCCTGTAGTGTGATGTACCTGGCAAGATATCATAGACATGGTGCTCCATCATGCAAACTTTATCGGCAGCCCCAAGCAGATTCCAAATCGCGGATCCGCCAACATGTTCCCCAGCCAGTTTCAGCCTCGATACCTCGGATCAGATTGATGATCTCTTTGTGTTCCGATCTGTGACTGAAGAGCTGACCTGCAATCCACAATGGCTGGATTGAATTGTTCAGACATCCTTGATGTGGATTGGCCAGCGAAATACCACAGATTCGGCGTGCATGCCATAGCGGAAAGAGGGCCGGTGATCGCGGCAGCCGTACACCCTTCGGCAGCACTTTCAACAGCAATATACATGCAGTGTGATAAAGTTGATTTGATGATATTGCAGCCCAGTGGACAAACAAGATATGAGGGAAAGGCTTGCGGCTGACAGTCTGAACTGGAAGCAACTCGTCTGGCCGCTCCGACAGCCAGCACTGGAGGCCGTTCCAGAGCAGAAGCCAACGGGTCTGGAACTCTTCGGTAGTACAGCCATTGTCTTCGCCCAACTCGACGAATTTTGTGCGATCCGAAACAAGTTGTGTCGCCTTCATACACAGATAGACTGCGTAATTCGCGTGCATGTCCGGAGATTTGACACTCTGGAAAAGTCGATATGCATCCTCGTCTTGGCAGCCTGGAGGCAACCACTTGCAAGGATGTAGGAGTGTAGTTTGCGTGCCATCAGAAATGAGTGCACCGCAGAGGTCTGACACAAGTCATTAGGAAGTTTTCTTTCGGCGGAGTATGACTGCTCTACCACGGAGAGCTGCAGTCGCAATAGATAGAGAGACTCACCCATCCTCGCATAACACCAGAAAACCGCCTGTAAAACTCCCTGGCTGAAGCCGTGAATACCAAACGCACTGAATAACGCGGCGCATCCCTCCAGGTGACGGCGCCAATCTTGTGCCCGAGCCGACATCATCTCCAAGCAGCAAAGAAGCACGCAAGCTGCGACAACCTTCGTGTCGCGCACCTGGAGAAGTGGACTCAACCGCCGAATCGCCTCCTGGTACAGTTCAAGACTATCATACCAATTCCGAACGCCATTCTTACGTTCGATCTGCCTTGCTGAGAGAGCAAGTATGGCATAAGAAAGAGCCGGGAATTCTTGGGCAAGAGCAGGGATCTGATGGCGGAAGGTGCATTGTGAGTCGAACATGTCCAGCTATAGATTTGATCGATACGTTATCAGCATGGCCAGCTCTAAGCTAAGCTAGTGCGCGTGATCAAAGGGCAAAAAAAGATCGACATACCCATGGCGCCACTTCAGTAACATAATTCTTGAGGTACTGTATATGCCTCCCCTCAGACAATGGAGCATGCCATGAATTTCTACTGTCCTTGGGTAGGGGTTGGGACAATTGTTCCAGGTGGTCCCCACTTCCGGCCGCGTCTGGGCTAGATGCCCGGGTCGGAACCGCCGAATTGGCCAGGGAAAAAAGGAAACATCGCAGTTCTTCCTGGGACGCCAAAAAGTCCGGGTCTTGTGAGAAGCCATCTTGCGTCCAGCTGCCAGCCGCCGGCGATTGGAATGAGCCGCATTCACCACCCGAATTGGGGGAACTGTGCAGATTGGCGCCGTCAGGGTTGCATGGACGATCATTGAGATTGTGAGCTATCAAGGGGCCGAGACCGATCTCTATCGCTGGCGGCTGGGATTGCTTATGCTGAGCATCATCGAGACGCTGCCGCTTTGGGCTGGGCTCAATGGCCTGGTTGACCGGCATGGGTCGCTTGTCCATCCTTTCCTTGGTTTCCTTGGTTCGGAGCCGATTTTCCAATCTAGATCATGCTAGACAAGCGATAATGGATGTAACAGGAGACGAGAAGGCTGCTGCTGCTGCTGCTTCTGCTAAGCTGGAGACAGACTGCGACGCAACCTGGGAGGGGTTCGTTCTCTTCCAAGTTCCTTGGTAGACAACCGATCTCGAAAGGGCCACCTCGGCTCTAGTGCGATCGACAGCGCGGGGTATGGAAGTGGAAACCTGCTGTTTGTGACTTTTGCTGTCCCCAGATTGTCAGACATTCACCAATTGTTTCCGTTCTTCTCATCAGGAACTGGGCTTTCGCAAGGTAACATGGACAGGAACGTCAGCCAAAGCGCAGATCCCCCATGGGCAGTTGTGGGATGAGTTTAGTCCTATTGCGGGGTAACATTCGGTTGCCGTAGCCTCCCCTTGCCCGATCGGGACATCCCGTGACCGACTCTTCTGTCTCGGCTCGAATCATCATGGATGATCGATGTTACTTCCGTCTTCTCGGCTTCTCTCGTCCGACTTACCAGCCATCGATGACGAGATCAATTGCTCTCCATAGAGCGGGATAGATCGGTCTCTTGCTTGGTTAATCGCCTAACATGCTGGTCCAAATGGCTGGTAGCAAAACGCCACTGGGTGTTCCCTTCCATGGCGGCTAGTACATATATACCTTGCATTCAGCCACTCACCTCACACGCGATCAGACGCGATGTCTTGTGAACATTTACATATAATTGCAAGCAATACAGGAGCAAAATGGTGCAGATCAATATGTTTGGGACAGGCTTCACCCTCCAAGCCGCCATCTGGGCAGCCTGTGGAATGGCCTTCATCCTCTTCGGTAAGTCAAGAGACTCGTCAGTTTCAACAGCAGCAGCTTAGCCGGACTTCTAACTCACCCATCTTCTCCTCCAGGTTACGATCAAGGTGTCTTCTCCGGGATCGTGGAAAACGATGACTTCCTCGACACCATGAATCATCCCAATGACAGCCTCACAGGCATCATCGTCTCCATCTACAACCTGGGCTGCTTTGCTGGCTGTCTTGTCAACTTCATGCTGGCAGAACGGCTGGGAAGACGCAGAGCAATGTGGTTTGCTATGGTCTGGGTCATAGTAAGTGGGCTCTCATTCCGGTCCTAGAGTTTCCCCTTCATCCATGGGGCGGGAATCGCTCATGAGCTGATGAAGATGATGATGGTCGATTAACCTCCCGACAGATTGGAGCTACTCTACAATGCTCCGCCTTCTCAGTGCCGCATCTGATGATCGGTCGCTTTGTCACGGGCATTGGCACTGGGATCGAGACATCCACAGTGCCCATGTACCAAGCAGAACTATGTGAGGCCAACAAGCGCGGACGGCTTGTCTGCAGCGAACCCCTCTTAGTGGGTGTGGGAATTGTCATCAGGTAAGTCAAGTCGCTTTGACCGGGGGCTATTGCAGGCTATTCTTTCTTCATGCTAAGGCTACATCCAGTTACTTCTTCGACTATGGTATGGGATTCGTCGGCGGTCAAGTCGCTTGGAGACTTCCTATTGCATGCCAGATGCTCTTTGCGTTTGTGAGTGATCCTGTTCTCATTCAGGGACCGAGACGCAAGACTGACGCTCGGATAAGGTGGTGGTAATCCTCGTGTTCGGGTTGCCCGAGTCTCCGAGATACTGCTACAAGGAAGGTCGTCGCGACGAAGCACTTCAAATCCTCAGTGATGTCTACGGTTGTCCGAAAGATGACCCGAAGATCCTTGCCGAGCAGGCGGAGATTCTGGAAGCCCTTGCCGTGGAGACGCAGCATGGGGAGTTCCAGTGGAGGTATGTTCTCGTAGACACAATTCGGGGCGGGGAGGGGGGGGGCACCCTGCTAACTTTTACAGAAACATCCTCAAACATGACAAGGTCTCAACAGGCCATCGAGTGTAAGTCTGATCTCCTTCAAAATTACCGGTGTATCATCTAATCCGCCGGTCACAAGTCTTCTTGCCTACGGGATGCAATTCATGAACCAAGTCGGCGGCATCAATCTCGTCGTGTATGATCTAATCCACACACCCCCAGGTCTCGAGTTCGCAGATTTCCCAGGCTAACAAAAGTCCTCAGCTATTTCATCCCCACCGTGCTGAACAGCAACGTCGGCCTCAGCAAGAACCTCTCCATGATCCTGGGAGGCTGTGTCCAGATCATGTTCGTGGTGGGCAGTATATTCCCGACCTTCTTCGTCGACCGGGTCGGTCGCCGAGCGCCCATGATCTGGGGCTCATTCGGCCTGGGGATCTGCATGATGATGGTTTCCGTCCTGCTCAGCTTCAAAGGCCACGCCAACGAGCATGCGACCTCGTCCGCGGCGGTGGCTTTCTTCTTCCTCTACATGCTCATCTTCGGTGCCTCCGTCAACTGCATCCCTTGGTGCTATGTCCCGGAGATCTTGCCTCTGCATGCGCGCGCGAAGGGCACGGCTATCGGGATCTCGTCCAACTGGATTTGGGTAAGTCAAATTTCTCTCTAACTTAGCAACCCACCGTGCGGGCCCCCGAAATCCATACTGATGGTGGTGCTGGATGAAAGAACTTCTTCGTCGTCATGATTACGCCGATCATCATCAATCGCCTGCAGTGGAAAGCCTACCTCATCTTCATGTGTACGAACTTGGCCTTTGTCCCGCTGATCTACTTCTGCTATCCCGAGACAGCCAACTTTACCCTTGAAGAAATAGATTACTTGTTCACCAATCCGGATAAGAGCGCGGTGCAAGCGTCCAAGGAGCTTGTGAAGGAAAAGAAGAGACACCGGACCGCGCCATCGCACGTTGTCGTCTCCCAGGCGAGCCAGGTTGTCCAGCCCGGCAAAGGAAAGGGCCATGAGAGCATCACGTCGAGGGTCTCCGATGAGCATATCGAAGATGCACGCGGCTAGAAGGAGATGCACAACGGGGGTAACTCTCTTTCTGTGATGTGTTGAAGGTGACAGGGGCTACGCCAGTGCTGCTTTGCTGACCATGCGCTTGCGACCGGGGTTATACCTAATCACTATCACTAGTAGCGACTGCAGGCATGGTGACATTGGGGCTACAAAGGAATTGTTCGGGGTGGCGCATCAGCGATGAAAGTGCGGTGATCAACCCCTGCCAATAGACAAGATAAGCTAGGTATACAGCCTTCCAGATGGCTTTTTCTCCCGAGATAAACCGAGGAAGTAGGGTACTATAACCGCACATCTGGCCATTGGGCGCAAGCCACATGCCGAAGATTATCCAGTCAGGTTCCTTGTGTAGGGGTCAAACGAGTTGTGCCTCGCGTTGCGACATGCCCAGAAAGCGCAATGACTCGGAGAGCAAGCTGCTGGTAGGCTCTACTGTGATCTGTATCCCACCTCTTGACCAATCGCTACATGATCATGCCTGAAGTGTCAGATGCCAAACAAAGAAGTGACAACTGCAGTCTAAATGCGCATGGCAGCCGTTCCCCACAGGAAGGGGACGGATGAGGTGAGCTGTTCTCTGATCTGGGACAACACAAGTAGACGGCTCTTTATGATGTCAATTGGCATGCATATTGAGAACGTCAAGCGCTTGCAGGCATATGCAAGATACACTGTCCATCAATCATAAAGTGCCGCCAACGAAAGAAAAAAGAAAAGAAAAGAAAACTCCCCACCAAACCCTCTTCCGGGGCTCAACCGTGATTCACAGAGTGAAGAATGAGCAGAGCTACGGGCACTTGGGGAGATTCTGCATCGAGTACGGAGTAACTTACGGAAGGTTAGATGCAGTGTCTTTCACGGTTAAACTTGCGGTGTGGCGCCCCCCCAAGGTGTGGAATGCCAGTCTCGGATTGGCTGCAGTTGTTGCTGCTTCCGCACTGCTGTGCTTGAATCGTGAAGAGGTGATCGAGATGTGCTGGTTGATGGAAGATTGAGAAATCACAGCAAATTTAGTCCATTTTCCCTCCGTTTGCGCGGGGGAGAGAGAGGGGGAGGGGTCAACGGGGGGGTGTAGATGATGAAACTTTGCGTGCGCGATCAAATACGAGGGAACTCAAAAAGAGAAGCGATAGACCTCGAGCAAGAAAGATTAGGAGGAGGGGTAAGATTGATTGAGGCAAGAGTGGACAATCCTTCTGGGGACGGGAGCAAAAGCAACCCGTTCTCAGTCTTTGACTGGAGAGTTGGGAAAAAACCGAGAGGGTTGTGCGGAGAGAAGGAGAACAAAATAAAACAAAAAGTGACAGGTCAGATTTGACCAATATCAGAAGTGCCGCTTTGGGGTTTGAGGGGGCTGGAATTGGGGGTTTGCCGACTTAGTGTGACAGGCAAGTCTACACTAGTTGCGAGCGTCGACCAATTCAATCAAGCAACTGGACTGCTTGAAAGACTCAATCTCCAGCACCCTTTGTGAACTGTCTAGCTGCCTGTGCCGTTCGCGTAAGGGTGAAAAAAAAAACAGGATTGAGGCACAACAAACATCCTCGATCGACGATCTCCTGTCATCCGATGGGGCAAGCGAATAAGTTCAACGGCCCCACAGTTTATGTATCCGATTGCAATCGAAGGTGCTGCGCCAGATAAGTGGTACTAGTAACACCGGAGCTGCGTAGCACCGGTCACGCAGCTTTTTAAGACCAATGGCTGAGACTTAAGAGAGAGAGACCGATCAGAACCTGCTGTGGAGTGCGAGAATGCCAGATTCCCCGGTTGCGATAAGGTTCACTTTTACTTGTCAACGCTCCACCAGCGAAGCATCGTCGGCGGGATGCAAGACATGGATGGCATAAGATCGGTCTTTTCGGGCTCCTTCACTCCATACCGATATCTCTCGGTCGCAATTGGAAACAGAATCGGACTGGGTAGCCAAGAAGGCAAAACAAGAAAGAAGAAATAGAAGAACAAAAATGGTAAAATAAAAGGGAGATAGGAGAAAGCCCGAGTGGGGACATCAAACAAAGAAAATGATAGACGAGCGTTGAGACCGCCAACAACAACAAAGGAGGGCGGGCCTTTGGAGATGCACCCCTATGCGCTCTTACTGCCATGATAGTGTATAGAACTGAGCAAAATCCAGGTTTCGCTCTCGTCCCAACAGACTGGTTGTCTAATGTAGCTGATCCGTTTCGATCATTGGCCCATCTACCCGCGATCCCGTCGATTTAATTCTGGTTTGCAGTAACAAATCGCAGGGGCTGAATGACGACAAAGACAATGAGCAAGCAAACAGCAATAATAGCTGACTCTGGTAACATCACTTGTCGAATGCGCTATCCAGGCACAGAGGAGAGATAGCTCAATGTGAAGCACCGAACCTCATCCTACTCGGCATTCCTTGGGTTAGGCGCAGTTAGCGAAGCCAGGCCCTCCATTGTGGGACCAGGTGTCGCAAACCCCATGTCTTGCCTGACAAACCCGGTAAATCTGACCTAGCTTGATGAGGTTTTCAGCCACGACGCTTTCTGCCGCTCACCTTTCAGCAGTGCATCGAGAGTATCGATCAGATTTGGGCAGTGTGAGTGTGGCCGTTGCGGAGGAGCGATTGTTCATTAGACGTTTCAGGAAGGACTTTGAGCATGTCAGTTACGGTTGGTGGTACTCGGACATCCATTGGAGTACAGTACAAAACTGCTGCACAGCTGTGCCATCAATTCATCGCAATCGGCGCCAAGTCTCTCAACTCGCTAGCTCCGAACATCGAATTAGATGAAGTGTGACCTATACACTGTCAGTCATAGGCGGTCAAGCATCTGAAGCTCATTCTGGATTGCAACACCCAGCATCGCTGGGTTCTGATAGCTATGTATAGATTTGTTGGGCGGGATATCAATGTATTTGCACCAGTCACGCACCAGTCACAAGTGCAAGTCGCAAGTCCGAGTGGAGAATACCGAATACCGAGTTTCCACTATCTGGATGAATTAACGGTTCCCATTTCGCGTTTCACAGGTGGCGCTTTTCTTTTTCCTCTCCCTGGAGATTTTTCGATTTGGCTTTTTTGTTTTCAACTTTTCATTGCCCAGCGCTTCTCATGATCACTAGTCACATCAGGGATAGCTGAACATGTATCTATCACGCATCGCAAGTTCCCAGCTGAAATCGCTTCGAAATGATGTTCTCATTGGCCGGGTTGAGCAATGCAAGACATGAACGGGAAGATCCGAGTAACTTGGATAATCAATGCGGCCGACATGACATGTTTGTTGCCCACCAGGGTCCATGTAGATTGGTACCTTGGATGCATAATTTATAATTTTAGTCGTGTCTCCAATCGACAGGTCCGGGCTAGAGTGATGATCTCCCGATGGATACACAGAGTGTCTCCTGGTCTAACGGATGTTTGAGAAAGCCAATAAGCCCATCCCATAACGAGGTATATAAAGAGCAGCAGGGCACCTACCACTGGGCTGTATACTCAACAGTCAACCCACATACTTACCCAAGCAAAGCACGCACACTCTCTTACCCAATTGCTCAGTGAAAGCTCACCTTCAATCTCTTCCATCAAAGCCCTCAAAGCAACCTGAGACCATATCTTTTCCAGTCACCATCTTCTCATCGTCACGCGCCTGTCGCAAAATCGACCCTATCAACACATCAATCACAATGACTGTGAGTTCTCCCGAGAAAAGCCTTATGATTATGATTCGTGCATCATGATCTCTGACACCAATTCCCCTCAAAACAGATGCCAGGAGCGCGTTGCCCGACCTGCGCCAAGCAGGGCAAAGAAGTCTGGGTCATCCCTGGCAAGAACTGCCACATCTGCGGAACTCCCGTCGGCTGATTTGAACAAAGTGTGAGGCGTCCTCCTGAGAACCGTGAAAGTTGACCTTCCTGCTAATGAGGACGAAGATCAGTGAATCATTCCTGAAACTCAGATCTCAATACCATTTCTTGGCGGGAATTTTCGTTTTGTTCTACCTTCCGGGGATAACAGAAGAGAGAGAAGAAGAAGAGAGGCCACCCGCTTCCGAGGAGGGGGAGGAGGGAAACATCACGGCGTGCTTGATCTCGGGAACTCTCATGTCTTGTCTCTTCTGGTTTTCAACTTTCTGAATTGGAAAATGGGAATTGATGGGTCCGTGACACCGGTTGGGGGCGGGTGGATGAGGCGCGCGCTATCGGTTGAGGGGAGACTGAGCGCTCCTCAGCAAAGAGAAGGTGTTTCTCGGGCATCCATCCCTCGACAGCAGTCGGAGTCGGCGGCGATGGGGAAGGGTATTTCTTTTTCTCGGTGTACGATAGTGAAGGATCGAAAAGCATATAACGCAAGCGCCGTGAGGGAGACCAGTGGCAAGTTCGAAGAAGATAGAATGTGTGTGCGTGTGAGCGAGAATGCTCAGTAAGGTAGTTAGTTGTACGATTGATACCGTGGGATCCTCTATACATCCTGAGGTTGGAATTCGCGATCAAGTACGGGACTCAGTCCAGTAAGGGAAGGCGCCTGACAGGAGGCCCGCGGCCTGAGGCAGTCATTTCCAACTCAATACTTCCAAGTTTCTCATTTCTCCTTCTACGAAGTCCATGCAACTACCCTGACTCATCGTCACCCCTCCTCCAGATCTCAGTCTTGTCAGCGTGGACCCCATCCGCTCACCTCGAGCCATTCGCGATAGACTGGATGTTATATCCGGGTGGATAGATCTCGAAACATACGGAGTACCCATACTTAGTAGAAGATCTCACCCGACTGACCTCCAGTTTCCCCTCAAAGATGCTAAGAACGCACCCGGCAATGATAAGCGACATATGCAGCGCGGCACGCAGGTGGTGTGGCCCTTGCATGGGGCGTTCTCCTCCAATCCCAGCAGTCGAAGGCAACACTCTATCGAAACTATCGTGACCTCCCGCGGGATCTTGGATCTCAGAGGGGATGGATCCTCACCTGTCATGCTTGGCATGCCGATACTGGTCAACTTGTCTCCTCCGATCCCGTCTCTCGTCCCACTCCGGCCTCGGTGGGCACCGGACCGGACTGACTGCCGTGGCGGTAATCCCGCTAGAGCGCAGACGGCCCGGAACCGAAAGTGGGCTTTTTCTTTCTCTAGGGAATTTTCCCCCTCGGGTGATTGCTTGAGTGAGCATGGCGGAAGGATCGTGACCACACAAGAGGGGGTGTGCCGCCGGCGGACGAAAGAAGCTTGGAGGAAACCCATTTATTCCGGTACGTATATACAAAGAAAGAAAACGAGATTTGAGAAAATTCTCATCATATGAACCAAAGAACGCCAGTCCGACAGAGAGCCTCGTAATCTAGCTAATGTGCCAAGATGGGCAACGAACGCTTGACCCTACTCCACATCGACTCATCAGGAACTGGGTGATCGATGCGATGCCACTCGTCATTGAATGCATTGATGAGCCAGCTCGAGAGACCTAATTGACGAATTATTATCCCCTCCCGGAGGTACGCAAACGGAATGAAGGAAGTTGACTTACGCTCGTATACCATGGTGTGCGCATTGTGGAACGCAATGTTGTGATCCGAATCCGGGTACACATGCAGATCGTAATTCTCAACACTAGCCAAGTCCAGCTTATCAACCAACACAAGAGTATTCTGAAGATGAACGTTGTCGTCTGAGGAGCCGTGCATGACCAGGAATCGCACAGTTTCCTGGAGCGCAGACATGTCGGAAATAGAGGCATTGTCGAATCCCGTGGGATTGTGTTCGGGAGTGTGCATGTAGCGTTCAGTGTAGATAGAATCTATTTGATACAATGTCAATGTGAGGGTCAACCTTGTCTTTGGGGCTCGGACACGTACCGTAGAATCTCCAATCGGTCACAGGTGCAACAGCCATTCCGTATTGGAATGTTTGTCCTGCGTCTTGCTCGAGCGTCTTCAAGGTCATGAATCCGCCATAGCTCCAACCCCAGATCGCCATTCGGGTCGCATCAACATATGTCTTTTGGGCCCACATCTTGGCCGTGGCAATTTGATCGTGAGCCTCATAGTAGCCTAAGTTGCCGCGGACGATGCATCGTGCTTTGCGGCCGATGTAGCCCGTGCCTCGGCCGTCAACAGTGACGACTATGTAACCCAGACTGGAGGCGATGTATGCCTGGAAATCGACGGTAAATTTACGATCGACTGTTTGTGAGCCGGGCCCGCCGTAGAGATAGAAGAGAACGGGGTATTTCTTGGCCGGATTAAAGTGAGGGGGGCGACGTTCGACGACCTGGAGCGTGAAGCCGTCAATGGTGACATTTTGGTAGATCTCCGTCGGGATGGCGTATGTCTCGACCATACGAGCGAGGCCGGCGTTGTCCTCGATGGTTTCTTCGAGGATGATCTCGTCTGTCTCGGTATTGACAATTGCCTGCCATGGGATGGAGGGGCCCTTGTAACTGAGCAGTGCGTATCCGGTACCTTGGGAGAAGGAAACGTCGTAGTAGCCTGGTTTGGAGGTATCTGTAAGAGCCTTGAGGTTGGATCCATCAAAGTTCACTTGATACAGGTGGCGCTGGGTGGGAGCTTCTTTTGTTGCAATGAAATAGACGACGCCTCGGTGGGGATCAACGGCGGCAGGAGCTTCGACCACTTCCCATTCACCGGTGGTGAGCATGACTGGCTCGGAGTTATCGAGGGGCGCGAAGTATGCGAGATGGTCGTAGCCGTTGTGAATCACAGTGTCGAGGTAGCCATCGTGTGGCCGGCCATTGCTTGGATCAGCGGGAATGAACCTGGTATACTGGGATGGCTCCACCCAGCCGCCGTCGATGCTTGCAACGTCTTCAGTTCGAACAAGCTTACCACTGCGGGATTTGGTGTCAACTAGGAAGACTTTGAGAACGTCACTCTCTCTGTTTGTGGTGCGCACAATGACCTTGTCTGCACCTGCCCAGACCACCTCAATGATAATGCGATCCTCATCACTAAAGTCGCCGGGGATTTCAACTGTGAATACTTGTTGTTTCTCGACGTCGTAAAATTGCAAGTTGACAACAGGGTTGGGGGCGCCGGGCTTGGGATACTTGATCTCTCTCACTTCCGGATAATTTTCGAGTCCCGGGAGCGGCTCTTTTCCAGAGGGTCTCGAGAGGTGATACTGGACTGGGAATTCAGGCACGGAGGATTCGTTGGTGCGAAGGAAAGCGAGGTACTCGCCGCCACTAGACCACCACGTTACACTATTGCCGGAGATGACCTCCTCTTCGTAAACCCAATCAGGCACACCGTAGAAAAGGTCCGCACCGCCGTCCTTCGTGATCTGGACCACCCTATCTGACGACAACTTCCGCAGATATAGGTTGTTCCCTCTGGCGAAGACGACAGCATCAGAAGCAGGCGACCAGACCGCGAGCTGGACCCGTCCATCGGGTTCGCTGGGATCCAGCGCCTGCGCCGTTTGGGTGTCGACGTCGAAGATCCAGTAGTTGCCCGTGTACGAATGTCTCCAATTCTTCTCACGGTCCGACAAGAGCAGGACCTTCTTGAGATCGGGGCTGGGCCATGTCATGGCCGGGAAAATATCGCGCCCATCCACATGCACCGTGGGCTTTTCCATCAGCACCCGACTTTCCTGGCTCTGGGCATCCTTCTTGCGGCTGCGGATATCTTCCACGCGCAGGTAGGCCTTGCCCTCACCTTCGCCTCGCTCCACCAGCAAGCCGTCTTCACCGTCGGGCCCCGCGATCCATGAGATGGCGTGCGACATGGGTTGCCATTGACCCCTGAGCACCTGCTCCAGCGTGACAGGCTTTCCGGAACTCGTGCTGTCCGAAAAGGGGCTGGAATCATGCGACTGCAGCGCTTCAGAGACAGCGAGGTCGCCGGACCGCTTCTGCGCCACGAACAGCGCCAACCCCCAGAGCCAACCTGCCACACACAGTATGACCAGTGCCCAGATTATACGCGAGGTCCGGCGTCCGGTCGATGCAGCCGATTTCTTTTGCGACGAGGGTAGGAATGGCTCATCGGGCTGCGGTTCGCCTTCCTCCACGTCTCGATATCTCGCATCTGCGGCTGAGCTGGACTTTAAGGGATTGTTCAGGTGGGTGGTTGTGAATTTGGATTCGTCGGGGAACGGGGTATCGACGGAGAGGTCCGAATCGGAGGATGACTGAGAGGCGGTCCTCGACCGGCTCATGGGCAGGAACTCCGTGTTACCATCATCGGCGTATGTCCCCATGGTGCGAGGGCGCGAGATTCGGGTGTGAATCAGTAGGCTTGGGAAAGACACATGCGTTGGTGCGAGGCACGTAGGACAGGACAGATGGCTGGGGTAGCTAGGAGGCTGATAAGATCGGAGGATCGCTATCGGCGAAGGTGGATCGGCATTCGTTGCGATCGGGGAATGGACGACAGATCTCAGCTGGCCTTAAGTCTCTGGGCCAGTGGAGGGTTTAAAGAAGTCAGGAAAGACAGAATCTATGACATTGGAAAAAAGAAGTTCGGAGAGAATGTGTGTGAGTGTGAGGGAGATTCGAAACAGGGGGGATGGCAAGCCGATCGTTCCAGCGGATAGCCTTGGACGGCCCGAGGCATCAATTGCGCTATTCACTATTCACACGATCGGCCGCTAGTTATTGATAGCCTATTTGGGTCAATCATCGACCATGTATATACTCTGACAATAGGATTAATATGGTGGCGTGTGCTCCTCTTCTATCATACATGACATTGACTTTATTTAAAACAAACATAACAGATTACCCTGAGGATTGTTATATGTTATTTCTAGAAGCCGTGCCCTTTTGATGTATAAAATTTTGACATTATGCGACCAGATTTTCCCCACAACACAAAGTGGATTTTATACTACTGCTCCACTACAGCTTTGTCACTAAGTAGAGTATCCTTCGACCGGTAACCTATGCATCTTTAAGACTTAATTCTATCATGGCCTGCGAATAGCCTTCCAAATGGAAGCCTGCCCAAAGGTCTCAACCAGTCAAGACATCAGCCAGGACGCCCAGAGTACACGAGGTTTCCTCGGTCCTATTGTATCCATACCAGTCACCAGACACCAATAATGTATCTAAATGCAACCAGCAGCTATGAGAACGGTATCGCCATCCCCTAACTAACCTCAGCAGCCATCCACAACATACAAAGTCCACACATTCCTCCCTTCCAACAAGGACACAAACCCTCAACATCACTGCAACCGATGCAAAATCCCCACCCTCCACTCCCTAAACACCCTCGCCGACACAGGCAGCATCGCATTCCTCCGGTGCAGCACCTCCTCGAAAGCCCGATACGTCTCCTCCGGCAACCGCACCTCCTCCAACGCCAGCGTGGTCGACGGCTTCCCGACCTCCGGGTGCAGCGTCTGCTCCACATTGTGGAGAGGCTGGAAGAAGACCTTCATCGCTCGTTGGGCGGCGATGCTGTGGTGGGCGCTCGAGTTGGAATACCGCATGTCGGGGTTGAAGACCCAGATCTGGTTTTTTTGCCGGAGGAGTTTAGCATACGGTCGAGCGAACAAGGGTGACTTCCTGTGGGAGACTGGGAGGCTGGGAGAAACGTACCAACAATCCACTGCTATGTCCGCAGTGCACGACGAAGCGACGAGCGCTTTCTCGTTCGACCAACTCCAAGAGTTGGGCGGCGATGATGACCTCGATGGGGTGGGATTCCCACTCCATTTGCTCGGTGCCAGTATCAGTATTCGTCTTTGTTGCGGAGAGAGCGGTCTTGAAGAGTCTCCAGCCTTGGGCTGTAGGGTCGACCTGGCCGAGTAATGTATTACAATTGCAGCAGCGGATATCATCGGAGTCCGGGTCCTAAAGAGGTTTTTATTCGAGCTATTAGCAGGAGATAATGATAAGATGGCAAGTAGAGAGGAAAGGAAGAGGCATAGCAAGGTAGTGCTTCGCAATACGCCAGCATGAAGTCAAGTTGCATGTTCTATGAGTCTAATCTAATTCCATATATCACACCGCACCAACAATGTACCTCGCCATGATCACGTCGACTCCCATTGAACTCGGGATCAAAAGACAACGAAGGAACTTTATGCGAGGGCGCCAGCCTTGATCCCAGAGCGAAGCCCTCCGAGGAAGCTACCAACGCCTAGGCAAAGCCGATGCCACAATGATGCTGCGAAATCCATCTCCTATCTCGAGGGAAAGAAGAGGATGACTACACCACCATATAAGAAAACCAGCCACGCACAGCCATTAGTAGTCCCCCCTTCCTGCTTCTCTTGCACCATGAATATAACAAGGGATCAAGGCCCATAATTAATGTCGGGCAATTGTATCGGAGACCATACCACGGAGGAAAACAGGCCAGAAAGGTCTCCTTCTTGTTGCCCTGATTCAGGGAGACACCAAGCCTTGCAAAAGCTTTTCATCTCGGAAAAAAAAAACAAAAAAAACAAAAAGACCACAGAAAAAGGGAACAGAGGCCCTTACCTTCATAACCCCCAAACAATCCTCCACCGCCACCAGAAAAGCCGCGACATCCACCAGGATCGTGCCCACGGTAGCCACGACCTGATTCGCAGCCCCATACCCTTTAACCGTTGCATTCGGATCTTCCGATCGACCTCCCCCACCTGCTTTCGCACCCTGCTGCTGCTGCTGTTGTTGCTGCTCCCCGGCACCAAGCCCGCCCTCACCCTCACCATCTCCATGCTCACGACCACCCTCAGGATCCGGCTTATGACAATGCCAAAAGTCCATCATCTCCGCCCAATTCCCACTGGGCAGGTCCTTCCACACCCACCCCTCCGCCGATCGCACAGGTTGATCCAGCACCACGCTCTCACACCGACGACACCTGACCCGCGTCCCTGGCCGCATATCCGGCGCCCTCCACGGCACAGACCCGCCCCCCAGCTCCTCATCCCCGCCCCTCCCCGCCAACAATCCAGTCCCATTTGTCTGATGATGACCGGTACCCTCCCCAACAACCTGCATCCGAAACGACGCCTCCCGCCTCCTCCCCTCAAAGGAAGTACGCTGCCACTGCGGGGCGCGAAGCACATATCTGGCGGCCTCCGTGACGCGCGCGGGGAGTTTCATCGTTTCCGTTTCGGGTTCCGCGTCCATCGCTGCTCTTGTTTCGGGAGAAGCATCGTCGCCACGGTTCTCCGGCAGTTGTGGCGAGGCCGCCGGTGGGACTGACACCGACACCGCGCGCCGGGACTCGGAGAGTGCGATTTGCACATCTCCTCCCTTTGTTTCCTTCGCTGATTTAGGACAGGTGTCTTGCGATTGGGCATGGGCGTCGCTGTCACCAGCAGGAACAGAGACGTAGAGGGTGATGTGACGGATATGCGGGAGGAGTTCGGCATGGAGGTAGATCAGAGGGTGCTTCTGGTCCTCGTCCTCGGCTGTCCCTGGTGTTGGTTGCATCTTTTTCTCTTGTGCCGAAAGAGGGGGGGGGGGTGTGGTTCCCCGGGTTTGCTGTATTGAGATCTCTTATTGTTAGTATGCTTTTGTGTTAGTGGAGCGATTGATAGTGGTGGTGACGTTATGATTTAATGCTGTTTGTGCACAAGTTTGCTTTTGGAGGGTTGATAAATGAAGTTGGTGGTGTTTTTGGGAGCTGTTGACGCGCTGCGCTTTAGGTGGTTGCTGCGGCGCTCAGCAGGTGGGCTCTTTCTGCCACCGCCTTTTGAACAGTTTCGCGGACAGGATTTCGTGGGCTGTTACCTCTTATCTCCGCTTATGTCCGGGGTTTTCGTCTCGAGGTTCGGAGCATTCTGCCATTCAAAGGCGGTCAGTGCCTCTGTTCATCTGGTGCCTGAGGCATGACTTGGAGACACTGAGTATATACGGAGCACTCCGTAGAGATCGACGAAACTATGCCGCAAGCACGATGTCTCAATTTGGAGATGCTGTCACTAAAATACAAAGAGTTGCCAATCTGATACACTAGACCAGGGTACAGGTGACGAAATAGCATCCAGCCAATAAAACATGTCATATCCCCACAGAACCAGAACTACCGTATAACAAAACCGCAACCGAATTTGATAATCTCAGAACCCATATCCTGTTTTCCCTACTCAAAACGCCCAATCATCGAACTCATCTGCAAATCGAACAGCCGCCCGAAGGTAGAACTCCTCCGGATCCCCCCATGTATTGGCCGCTTCTCTCAAAGCCCGGATCGCCTTGACGTAGTGTGCATCCGTCGAGTACTGCCCCTTGACAGCCTTCTGTGCCGTCCATTTCCAATCTCGGCCTTTGAGCTCGTATCCCCTGACCCTCTCGAGATCGATCTCCGGTCGGAGCCCCGCGACATACACGCTCAGCGTCATAAGCCACCACTGCCGGACCAAAGCCATCTGGAACTTCCCTGGGATGAGAGGGAGCATGATCCGCACCGCATGGCTCGTCGTGAGAGTGTGGACGAGGAAGAAGTCGTACTTGGGGCGGGCGGCGGACACTGTGGCGGTTAGCAGCGCCGCAGCCACTTCCTGGCTCTCGCGGAACTGAGTGACGGGATCTTGGATCGTCCATGCGTTCCAGTGATTGAGGAGGGCCGCTTCATGGTTGCGGAAGAGAACTTCGATGTTTTCCTCGCCTGATGTAGTGAAGAGATTGTCGAATTGCTTGTCAGCTCGGACCTTGGCGAGGACCTCGAATAGAGAAGTGGTGTGGTAGGAGGGTTCGATCTTAGAGTACGATGGGTCGTCGAGGTATTTATGGATACTACCGTAGCAGGTAGCGGCCATACCCAGTGCCTCCATAGCTACTTCGCGACTGGACATCTCGAAAGCATATGCGAGGTGAATAAGGGGGTGTCCAACTATGCCATATTAGAGAGGTAGAGATAGGGTTTGAGGCTGCCACGCACGATCTGCAACAAGAGAGCTGAACATCGGTTCTTTGCCTGAAAAAAGGTACTGAAAAGCGACTTCTTTCCAGTCATAGCTATGCCGGACGAGTTCATCCTCGAAGAAGTCCACAAACGCGCGTTGGTATCTGGGCCAGATGGTCAGCAAGATTGACCATCTCACCAAGGACTTGACTTGCTACTTACTCTCGGCGCGAGAGATAGTCCCGCCAGTCATATGTACTGATCTCGCCGGGAGAGTCTTCCCAGGGATCGAGAGATTTGGACTCGTTCTCGTATATACGGTTCAGATCATCTGCATCAGCGCCTTGCAGGAAGGCTGAACTGAGGATCTGTGCCAATCAGTACAATACCGGACTATGTCTTGGCTATACAAAGACAAACATGAGGTGCATGGTTGTGAAACTTGCGTTCATTCCACAAGAAAGCGTAGTTGGCGTGGTTCAGTTTAAGTAGATGCTTCAGAGCACGGGCAGGCTTCTCTTGGGCCGTGTCGATCTCATGCACCTCAACCGGAGAGATATTGAAGACTTTGGAATCTCCCCACGGTCTCCATCGACCGAATGAGGGCAGAAAAGAGATCATATCCATGTTGTTTAGTGGGGATTACAATAACAACAATGAGTAGTGAAGAGGCCGATAAGTTGTGAAAGTCAAGGGAGCGGATCACTTTGTTGGCGTCCGGTGGGTCTTCAACGTTGAGATCAGGCGATATGCTATTGAGTATGAGTATGAGAGATCAACGCCACAGCGAAGCGCTAATCTCAAGCCAAGTCCCAAGCATAACAATTCCAAGCTGCAGTACACAATCAGATTCCTAGTAGATGGTTTGAAATCGAAATCAAGATCAATAGTTGCGAGAGTGGGGAAGAGATGCCTCAACCATGTGCCAACTGATGGGATGATGCAAATGATGACATCTTTTATGCAACTTAGCTATTCAAGTTATGCAGGCTTATGTCATCAGGCTAGTCCTGTTCTGGCTTCCCAACAAATACAGTAGATTCCTATGAAATCAGCTCTTTAGAGATGTAAACTCGTGACAGATTTGTCCTTCGGCACCTGTGCTCGAAGACAAATTTTGCTTTATTCTAAGATACACAAATCATTTCATTTATCCTGGGGAATACCGTGTTCCACGGCGTAGTCAGCAGGTTCACCACCCGCGGCAACCTGTCCCGAAATCACATCGACGTCCATTCGCGGTCCAGAGAAGTTCTTACGACCGTCAACAATCCATTGGAAGACCGACAAGATCATGACTACTCCAACAACAACAATGCAGTAGTCTGCTCTAGTTAGCAACTCTGGATCGGTGATAGTAGATAGCGAACTTACTCATATTGCTGCCTGTCACAATGCGATCGGGCGGGAAAACGAAGAGAACAGTGGTCATTGTGATGTAGCACAAAGAGATCTAGACATATCGTTAGTGCTGTGCATCTTCTTTATCCCGGGCCTCATTGGACGTACTATGTTGGCAATCCAGCCAAAGATACTGGGCAGAACGAAAGGTCTTTCAGGCAGCATCTTCCGACCCCGAGCGCAATTCACAGCAATGGGAATGGCATATGCAATGTCGAGCAGAATCACAGACGAAGAAAGAATGGCATTGAATGCACTAATCATGTATCAGCGGTGGACTTCTCGGCTGGGTTTTGCTGTATAATCAAGATCCGCTGTTCACTTACCTGGAAGAACCGAGGAAGATGCATCCGAACACAACGCAGAAGAAGCTAGTCAGGTACAAAGCGTTCAGAGGCAGTTGTAGTCTCGGATGAACTTTGCTGAAGAAAGGCGAAGCTGGGAGACCGCCGTCTCTGCCGTGAACATTAGCTCATATTCAGAAGCTGGTATCAGGCCAAATGGTGGTCACCTTGCGAATGCATAAACCATGCGGCTGCTTGTCGTCGTAATGGTAACAGCGGCGAAGAGGACACAGACCAAAGGAAAACTAGGACTTCCGTCAGCATCAATCAGAAGTGACCAGGCGGGGCAGAACTCGCGTACATCAGAAGACAGATAGATCCAGCATTGCTCCTCGTCGCGTCATAGAAGATCTGAAGCAGGGGGGTAGCTGCCGAGCTGATGACGTTGTTGATGTCACCAGCAACGAAAAGCAGTACAATCAAGAAAATGGTACCGGTGAAAGTGCCAATGGCAACGCAGCCGATCATAATCTTGGGCCCTACTACAGAGGGGTTCGGGATCTCTGCTGATGTTTAGCGCCTCTGCCAGGTGAGGTGTTATGCTCGTGATAATACCTTCAATCATGTGCGCAACTCCATCCTGTCCGAAAGTTAGTAATGCTTATTGAGCAGCGTGTAAGGGGAACCATACAAATCCAGTAAGACCAAAGCCTCCTTGAAGTAGCTGTTACTCGGTTAGTGACAAGATATGACCTTGTCTTGATTGCAACATACCCCGAGCAGCCAAGCAAGACCATCGGGCCCTGTGTTCTATTAGCATTTATGATAGTGCGAAACTGGTTGAACCTCCACTTACAGCCTGTCTCGTTGATGAAGTCGCCAAAGACGAATCTGAATCAGAGTAAGTGGTTGTACAATACGACGGTAGTCAAATTCTTACTCTCCAGAGTTGTAGTTGGGCGATGAGCATGATAGCACAGTGATGCAAATAACAGCGAAGCCGGTTAGTGACCAGATAACTGCAACAGATTAGCCTTGCTAAGATTCCTTTTCATGATATTCATAGTCTGTGCACATACAGGCACCCTTAGTCAATCGTGGAAGGATAGAATTCAAGAAGGCATTGATGAGGAATGCAACAAGGCAGAATGCGATGTAGATGAGGAACTGATGCCATCTTTTCGACTCATATGTCTTGAAGGAGTTAATCGACTTGTGACATCTAAGCAGGTGTAAGGGGAAACTTACCGGATGCATCAAGGAAATTACACCCAAGACCAGTTGACTGCCTAGAGATCCACCAGTGGCAGCCAGAGCCACCCAGCCAGATACGTTTGCCCATCCTGTAATCCACGAAAGTACAGGCATGTATTTTGCCGGAGCAACTTTGTTCACTTAGTGACGCTCATGAGATAAAGGGTATATTGTACTTACTGACTGCAAAGGATGAATAGTCAGTATCATAAACATCATAACTCATGGATACCCGAAGCAAACAGGCGAATTGAGCTTACCTGCCACCCAATGGTATTGTCCACCCGCCCTAATACCTCAGTCAGTAGCCATCCAGGATATTGAATCGACCAGTACTCACGTAGGATATGCTGACAAGAACTCTGCCAGAGAGGATGCCATGCAGAGGTTACAGATACCCGCCGTGACCAATCCTGCAAGGAAGGGCAATCAATCAGTGAGTAACTCTGACCAGTAAGGGACCACCAAGCGAAAGCCACAACCTTATCCTGCCGTCGAGCGGCTTCATCCAAGGCGAGACTGGGGGACCGAAAACACAGTAGAGGTAGGAAGGATTGACTTACCCCATACAACGCTTACGCAGCCGCCCGACGGCAGACTGATCGATAAACTTGCAGACAGAGCGGTCCATGACTAGAGCGTCAATGGTTTCATCAGCATCCATGCAATCGTCACAAGGGATTTTCGTGCGGCGATCTGTGCCACG